ACCAAGAGGTACGTACCCCAGGGGATGCGACGCAGAAAAGCGCATACGTCGCCAGCATCCAACCCAAGACAGCAAGCTTACCAAACCCCAGGGCGACCTAGGTCATACCGACCTGCAAGAAGACCTCGAATTCCACAGCTCCAGTAAGCGCACCGACTATCATCCTCAATACCACCCTTCTACAGCAGAACTAACCTCCCCCCAGACTTCGACACCCAACCCACCGGCCGCGGCGCCCCCAAAATCCAACCCGACTCCACGAGCGGCTCCTTCCTCCCCGGCCCCTCCACCTCTTCCACATCGCCCACCTCGCGCAAACACTACCTCTGGTCCCTAAACTTCTACGCCCAAGCCTTCGACGTCGACACCGCCGAAGTGCTCCGCCGCTGCACCTCCACCCTGTACCCACGCGCCAATTTCCTCGACGTGCTCGAGGGGAACCCAGACTTATACGGCCCTGTCTGGATCGCCACAACGGTTATTGTTATTCTGTTTTTAACAGGAACGATTAATCAATACTTGGCGCAGAAGGGCGAGGAGCATTTTGCATACGACTTCAAGTTGCTGAGTGGCGCGGCGGGGTTGGTGTATGGGTATACGGCGTTTGTGCCCGTGGGGCTGTGGGGGGTGTTGAAGTGGTATGGGAGTGAGAGTGCGAATTTGATGGAGTGTGCTTGTTTGTATGGGTATGCGAATTTGGTTTGGATTGCGGTTAGTCTGGTGGCTTGGAGTCCTTGGGGTAGTGAGTTTCTCCCTCTTTCTTCCTCCCTTCCTCCCTCCCTCTCTTCCTCTCTTGTCTTTGGATGGCACCAGGAGATGACGTACTAACGAATATCTCAGTCCTCAACTTCACGGTCGTAGCCCTCGGACTCGCGGCCTCGGCGTTTTTCCTCCTCCGCAACCTCTACCCTGTGCTCAGCACCACCGAAGCGAAGACGAGCAAGATCCTGCTTATTGTCGTGTTTGTCCTGCATGCCGGGTTTGCGATTGCGATCAAGGTGCTGTTCTTTGCGGCGACGAGTCCCGTGGGTCCGAATAAGGGTGATAAGGATGCGGGCAAGGGGGTTGCGGATGGGGGATCTGAGGATAAGGGCGGTATGCTGAGGATGTTGATGGGTTGAGATGCGTTGGGTAGGGGATCAGCAGGTGGAGAGTGGTTAGGGGTTGGGATGATAGCGTTTAGTGGGAGAATTATAGTAGTGTCTGAAGGCTACATCGCCTTAACAATGAGCAGAATCTTTTCGATAACCCAGCGGGGAGGTCTACGGCGCATTTCATATGCGTGATCGCTAGACTCAAAGAAGAGCGTTGAGGTATACGATACCCCATAACCTTTCCTACATCCTCTGGAGAAAACGTTGAGGACATAGCAGCTCACTCACATAATGCACAACAAGTCAGATATACGGGAACGAATTCATTATAGCTACGTCCCATCCACCATGTATTACTTCACCCAGAATCTTACTTTGGAGTATACAACCACTTATCCCGGAAACAAATCTCCTTCAAAACAACCATGTATGCTTCAAAAACAAGATTAAGCCGCCTCCTCCTCCTCCTCAGTGAGCTGACCTGTCTGCAGTGCCCAGGCGAGTTCATGGACGTTGGACAGTGCGTAACTAGCGTCGTGCTTGATACAGTACTTAACGCAGCGGGTGAAGATGCCGCCGTCAACGCCTTGTTCGGGGTGCTTCTTGAGTCCGTTGCCGAGATAACGGATGTCGTAGTCGAGAACGCCCTCCAGTTCATCGTGGGGATAGCGGATGAGATCGGTGGCGATCAAGTCGTTAGCGTTCTCGATGCCCTCGCGGAACTGATCTGCCCAGTTCTTGCCGTACTTCTCTTTGCCCTTGTTGATAGCGGTGATGCACTTGACCGAACAGGTGTTGCGCAAGTAACCGCCCTCGAGGTTGCGGTGGGCGTTGAGGGTCTCAACCATCTGCGCGGGGCCCCATTTGCGGGAGTAGAGGCGGAGCGCGACGGTAGGACGGCCGAGAGACTGGAAGAAGTATACGATGAGCTCGGTGTCAGTGAGAGGAACTTGGGGAACGACGACGAAGGCTGGCGCCATGTTACCTCGCGCGACGTGGGCCTTACGCTTGGCGATTGACGTATTGCCACTGTTGCCACGCTTGCTAGGGGTAGGCGGGCCGACGCGACCGGGGGTGAGAGGTGAGCTTGGGAGGCCGCCAGACGTTGGTGTAGAAGGGAACATAGACATCATGCCGCCGGTAAGGTAGCCAGACTGTTCGCTGTTAGTACACGATGGTGGAGACATGGACGTGTAGGACTTACATCTGGCTGACCAGAGGGGAGCGGGGCGATGGTAGGGATCTTGAGGCCGGGGATCTTGACCTGGAGATCCTTACGGGCGTGAGTCTTCGTGGCCTTCTTCTTCTGGTTGCTGCCGACAATCTTGGTTTCGAAGGTCTCCTGGTCCTGCAGACCGGTGTTGAGGAATTCGAAGGTCTTTGACGGGGCAGGAGTGGGCTTCATGGGGGTGCTTGGAGCCGACAATGCTGCGATACCAAGCTGGACGACAGTCTCTCGCAACTCCGAGACCTCCGACTCGGCCTTGTTCATGCGAGCGGTAAGAGCGTTGACCACTTCACAGATTTTGACGTTGGAGTCGACATGACCTTGGAGCTCCTCCAATTCTAAGATCATCAGTCAGCCTGGCGGATACATGAGGTGATTTGAACAGGGGAGACTCACTCCTGGGCGGATTGTAGTCGTAGAAAGGGTTCGCCATGCTGGCATCGAACTCCTGTTGCGCCATTGTCGGCTCCAAAGGGGGTTGGTTCATGTGATCGAATGACGGGAACATAGACTCGCTGTAAAGTGAAGAATTAGCATTGTTTTCTTCCACATGCCGTTGCCATGGCAGACCTCCAAACAATGGAGGTGTGATGGGAACATCAAGGTCAACTGTGACCAATGGTGTGAACATACCTTGGGAGCTCGCGCCCGACACTGTAATTGCGCGGTGAGCTACCTTCGTAGGCGCCGTTGACGCTATATGCTCTGCCCGTGTTGTCCTGGTTTGCGTAGGCGACGTTGGGCATCAGAACCTGTGGCTCGACTTCGTCCTCGAAGTACGCTGCTAGATTGGATGACATGTTAGCGCTGGGAAATGTTGCTGCAGGCAACATTGAGGTCCGGCTAGACGTCTGGCTGATCGGCATGAAAGTCTGGGGGCTTTCGTGGTGTTCAGCCATGCTGCTGAGTAGCGTGGTCTGGGATGGGATAGTCAAAATTGTAGCCGAGTTTGTTGTTCTCAGGCGCTCGGACACTCACCATATGCCATAACAACAAGAGACTGCAGCGAGGACCGTCGCCTGGTGAACGTCAAACTTGCTGCAATTCCTGATCCAGTCAGTTCACTGACTTGACTTCACCAATCCACCGCGGAGACGGCATACTCACCATGAGCCTCTAGGAGATGTGAAGAGCGCGCGACCACTGCTACAGGCACCAGAGAAGACAACAAAAGCCAGCAACGGTGATCTGGTGAACGTGAAACTCGCTGCGCATCCTGATTTGGTCAGTTCACCGACATGGCTTCACCGTGAAGACGACATACTCACCATCGAACACGAGGAGATATAGGCGATGCGTATCCGCTCTTGCAGCCACCAGAGGAGTTCATTTTCATCGTACTGATAGATGTGAACTGCCCATGCATGGATGTAGTGAAGGGCATGATGATGTTGATGCGGCAAAATGCGTAACAAGTGATGAGATATGATGAGGATGTAGGAAGAGAAGAGATGAAGCTGCAAAGTTCAGAATATATAGAGACAAGAAGGCAGAAGCCACGTCATGCCTCCATGATAAACGCCCACGAGGCTTCAGCTGAAAAACGTGGCAACCAGTACTCAATGGCCTGAAAGCGTCCGCGGTCGGTGTAACAAGCGGTGAGACGGATAGGTAATCCCAATGAAGGTGAGAGAAATTACGAGAGAAGAAGAGGGAAGACATCTTAGACAGCACTACCTATGCGCACAATGACCTACACGGCAGGATGGTGGACACCACCGACTAGAAAGCGCGTCGCCACCCATTTACTGCGAAGCCATCTCTCTTTTGTGGTCTGATAGCATACACGCATGTCTTCACCTAGGGTACGATGTTTGCTGAATCCGACGAGTCTCGTGCGGCGGGCATTGGACTGCCCAGGTAGGCTCCGGCCTATGATCAACGGGCGCGGGGTACGAGACAAGCCATAATACAGTCGCGAACGTTCCAGGTTTGATGGCGAGGGTGTGGAGATACTACGAGCGCGCGTAAAGTAGCCGGTGATGGTCGGCGTCGGGCGGGAGTGATGATGCGAGGAGGTTTGACGTTGGAAGTTCGCGTCGCGACATTTGGCGCACTAGTCCAAATCTGGCTGATGGTCCCTTCCCAAAACGACTCTCGGACCCTGACATCTCTCCAGGGCTAAAATACACTCGAGAATCACGACCCTTGGTACAATGACTGCGCTAATAGCATTGTATACTCTCTTGGTAGGTGTACCCTCCGTCCAATCGGTCCCTGCAGGTGGCAGCGCGGAAGGCGCCAGCTACCCAGAGCGTACCGCACCTTGAGTATGGTGTGATTGGGAGCTGCAGTTTGGTATTGCACATGTCAGAAAACGATTAAGTACTGATAGTGCCAATCTCTCATACGCTAATGCTACCTACAGAGATAGCTTGTTCACCTTCTGTTCTTCCTACAACATCTGGACATACCGTTAGCACCATGCGTTTGACCTTGTACGCGAGAACGACATGGAAACTACGTACGACGCTCCCACTGCGCTTCCAGACCGTGTTGAACTCTTCAAAGGAAATTCTCTCAAAAGTAAGGACTGAGTGGGGCTGGTTTGTGGGATAGGCACCAAGTGAAAGACGAGCATGTGGGTAACGCTCGAGCCGTGCAGTTACTTAGACCGGAGGTCAGCCTTCTCATGACCGGTTTACTTGCTACACGTACGGGTAAACCGAACACCAAGTATGCGGGTTCTGGCGATCGTCTGTCTTCTGTCGCTGATAGCTCTCGCGCAGAGCCTCACTGTAGTTCCTCCGCTTCTCCAAGGACCAGATATTTCTCCCAGCCCCTCCCGTAGCCTCGTCGCTCGCGTTGACGATATCGAAGTCATATACCACAAAGCCACATGCAAAGGCCAAAAGCTGCTGTCAGCAACAACCTCTCCGCATGACGCAGCAGCTGCCTTTGTCAACCCGATCGATAGCCCCTGGACCAACCCCATCCAACAGGAGCTTGAAACTTGGGGCTACAAAATCGAGAGTGACGATGGTACCCCCCAATTCCGCGCAAGTCATGACGATGAGTGCGAGTTCGAGCATAGCCACAAGCTCAAGAGCATGTTCGATGACCTCAGGATCGATACGCGTAGTACCTACCAGGGTGGACCTAATCGGTGTTACTTTATCAACCATAAGGACGGTCCGGCAGTACGGCGCGACAATCAGGGAGATCTACCACCCGTCAAGCAGCAGTGGTATAAAGCCAACGACCAATACTATCGTGTAGGTAAAAGAAGATAACGGTCCATGCACGTTTTACTGACGACACTTTCTCCTCGCAGGTCACCAACGCCGAGTTCGTAATCGGCGTAAACCCAGCATCAGGCCTCATTGCAATGACCAATCGTCAGAGCCCCGCCACGAGCGCGCAAGCCCTCTGGGGTCTCTCCAACCCTCCGCCGAACGATGAGCTTCCCGCACTGAAATCGAGCTCTGATATCATGTGGGGACTGTGGAATTTGGCGAGTCCGAACAACCTGCACGGCATCAAGTATATCCTTAGTACGCCTGTTATCAACGACGAGACGGTCGCGATAATCAAGAAGATCTTGGAAGACAACTGCCTCGATTTGGATGAGCTGATGACCTGGTCGGGCTGCGAGTTTGGGTCAGATGAGCCGGAGTACCTCGCTTTGCTCGGTAAGTCGTATCTCGGTTCGACGTTCTGGGATTGGATTATTGACTTCGACTGTGAATGTAGGATCACCGAATGGACAAGCCGTTGGGTACTTCCTGGCGCAGCACAAAGCCCAGCTCGGCGGAAAATATGTGTCAAAGATCAATATCTTCAAGGGAGATGATGCACACATGGTTGCTGTCTGTCTCCTTTTCACGATCGACGATAGGGCTGGAGCCGCGAGGGCCGCTATCGGGGATGAATCGAACGGCAAGGGTCGCGTCGACGAGGCGGTAGTCGTGAAGCGAGTCGTCTATGAGAAGAATGTTGTGAGACGGCATGTTGTGTGGGCGAAGTTATAGATGGTTTGAGACGCGTCAAGATGGCGTGTTTCGATGTACAGCTACGGCTTAGATCGTTAGATCTGGCTTCAAGGGCTCATATAGACCTAGACAGGGGTGTAGACTCGTTGGTTAAACGAATTTCTATATTCAATAGAGGGGTTTACAAATATCGTCACAAAAAGGTGATTTCCCGGACGGATGTCAGTGATGATGTTGGTGGACAAGAAGCCTGGACGCGGATCGCAACCTCGGCAATCGCGCCACTTATCGATAAGGCACGATTGCGAAGTTCAGGGTCGACATCGTCATCTCTCCGTCAACTCATCATCCTCACAATGTCTGCAAGCGTCCTCATCGTTGGTGCCGGCGCCATTGGAGCCTTCTATGCCTCTCGTCTTGCCCTTGTCCCCGGTACCTCCGTCTCGGTCATCTGCCGCTCCAACTACAAAGCCGTGAAAGCGAACGGCTTCCAAGTTACCTCACCGCAATACGGCGATTACACCTTCGTACCGGCCAACACCTTTGCAAACCCAGACGAAGCAAGAGCGAGCGGCATACAGTGGGACTTCATCGTAGTCAGCACGAAAGCGTTGCCCGACGTGAGCGATGACTCGACGATACTTGAGGGGCTTGTGAGCGATAAGACAGCTATTGTGCTAATACAGAATGGTCTGGGCGTAGAAGAACCGTATACGAAGCGATTCCCACAGGCTGCGATATGTTCGGCGGTCACGATAGCAACATGCGCGCAACCCGAGCACGGCCAGATCAAGCACAACAGATGGACGCGGATAAACAGCGGACCATACCTGCCCCATCTAGACACCGGAAGCAGAAAAGATAGCGACGTACGCGTCATCTTGATGAACGACGCGTTCATCGAGATGCTGAGGCAAGGAGGCATCAAAGACGCCGAAGCCTACAGCCATGCCAAACTCCAACTCGTCCGCTGGCACAAGATCGCCATCAACGCCTCCATGAACCCAACCTCGGTTCTCACCCTCTGCCTCCCGAACAACGTCATGTCTCTCGACCCAGAACTGCAGCGCCATCTCAAAGGCGTCATGACCGAGATCCTCGAAACCGCACCCAAGATCCTTGGCGAGCCCATGCCCAAAGAGTTCGCTACCCCCGATCAGATCATTCGGTCTACACAAAAGAATACAAGTGGTAGCAAGCCGAGCATGGCCATAGACTGGGAAGCGGGCAAGAAGATGGAGATTGAGGTCATTCTTGGCAATCCATTGAGGATTGCGCGGGACAGGGGCTATGAGATGCCGCGCCTGCAGAGTTTGTATGCGATGGTCAGGATGGCGCAAGAGGTCAGAGATCAGAGAAAGGAGAACAAGTTGTGAGAGGTTAGATTGCTCCCGTTGATTGATCTCTCGATTGTTTCCTTTGTGTGTGGTCTACCTCATATGAGTAAAGCGAGCTCCGTCACAAACTCCAAACATCAAGCCGAGAGGGTCGCGCAGGCAGGGTCGCAGCGAGCCATTCTCTTCGGCCTTGCTGCTACATATTCCTTGGTCTCGTCATGTTACTTACTAGTTTGCAAGAAAGATGATATACAGCGGAAGACCTCTAGAGATTCTAGTCGCGACCCAGGTATCCAGCTTTTCGCCCATGTTTCCAGGGCATATCCGCACACTTGAAGATCCCAAATCTGACAAACATGGTATCTGCCAGCGTCCCAAAGAGCGCCGTATCGTCATAAGAGGTGGCTGGGAAGTGAAGGTGAACGCAACGCCTTCCCGATCTACCAACATCACCAGAATTAGTACTCGATTCTCCAGTTGACCCGTCTTGACTATCTTCTCTTATTGAGCGATATTATTGCATTTGAAGAAGTCGATAGTGGTGCGGGAGGAGGGCAGCTCAAACTTGGAACGTTGCGACCCTATTGAGCGACGTGGACCGTGGCTATCACAATAGCAAAATACATGAGGTGAAGGCGCCTCTCACCAACCTCTTTTTTTGCGAGCCGAAGACAATAGCTTGAGTCAGCTGCCTATCGCCCCGGTCTCTCCTTCGTATCCTCCACGGCTTTTCTTTCTCAATCACCGATTACAACTTCCCCCATATCATCAACTTTCCCACCTGTTTATTATCAATCGTTACTGCCGCAGACAAGATGAGCAGGCTCTCTGATCAGCAGTTGCGAGCACAGTGGCTCAGCAAGGCGACCCCTGACCAGCAACGACAGTGGTTCAACAAAGCGCCACCAGACCAACAACAATGGTTCCGCCAAATACAGCGTGCTAGACAGCAACAAGGACAGCAGCAGCAAGTACCGCGCGAGAATAGTCAACACCAAGGTCAGCATGCGGCCCGGAGCCCGTCTATCAACAGCCTGAACGGAGCAAGGTCGTCTACCTCTAGCCCACTGGCTGCACCCTCAACGATGGCCACCTCGGTGACTACCGCTTCGCCTCTGAGCCCGACAGCAGTGCGAGCATCAACAAATGCATCCTCACCTATGCGAAACGAAAATACAGCGACGCTGGGCGCCGTCTCACCTATTTCTATTGTGCCACGCTCGATGCAAGCACCGAACGCTAGCGGAATTCGACATCATCAACAGAACAGCGCTTTTCTCGCTTCTAGGCAGACTCAGCCGCGCATGCTACCCACGGACGACGTCGCTCGCTACCAGAAATCACCACCCAGACAGAGCCCTTCGCATGTACAAATGAAGCTGCCACCCTCACCGACACGGCCAGGCTCATCGCCATCAGCGCATACTGCAGCATACCCCACCAGCATGAGCCAGAAACGTCAGGCCACAGAAGCCCCGGAAGGCGACATACATGCAGGCAAGAGGCAAATGACGACGCAAAATGCGATGTCACCTCCCGCTGCGCCGTTCGCTCCCATCGGCCACAACGATCCTCTCAACCCAGGGCCATACAATCGTATGAGACCGGTTGCATCACCCAATGGGATTGCGGCATCTATCAACCGGATGACCCCCGACGACATCGCCCGAGACCGTCGCCTCCAGCAGGCCAAGCTCGCAGAGCAACGCGTTCGGGCGCAACAAGCTCACGACGCCGAGAAAGCCCGCGAGCGGGAGATCTATAATGCCGCAACCGCCGCAGCCCTCAAGCGCGAGCAAGACGACGCCCGAAGGGAGTTTCTGCGCAAAGACCCCAGCGCGAACTACCGCCACATACTCGAGGTATACGCATTGTCGCCGCTAGACCCCAAGAAAGACGAGTACCCGAACCGGTACCTGACTGGCTTACTAGCGAACCGCGTCATGCCCATGGACCTTGACTGCGACCTTGCGCTCGCGATCGTGTATGCGAAGGATCACTGGGACTACTTCGGTCAGTGGCCCAAGGATATCGAGCGCTTTGCGGGCTATGAGAGGGAGAGGAGGGATAAGGCGGCAAAGGATCGGGCTTAGGAGACCGAGAGGGCGACGCGTGAGTGCCCTTGACCTGATCGTGCGAGCTCAGAGGCCTTGGAGGCCTTGGAAAAACGCTTGCGTCCGATGCTTTTGAAGTTTTTGAAGTATACGGTGTAGCGTGAAGTGATGGAAGTAGCTTGGAGAGGGATATGTGGCCGTCAGGGTGCACTCAACTTCTGAAAAGATCAGTTCACGAATATTGACTCAGATGACCATAGTGAATACTGCAAACAATTGGGACTAGTTTCGCCAAATCACGGGGTCTGACGTTATCCTCTCGTCCACGGACATCACTACTTCTCATTCTAACAGTTCACACACCCCCCGCACCCACTTCCGATCGAGAACCATCCCGTTCAATCATCAGAACACTCTCGCCATTACCGTCCTCCCCGACAAGATGGCCGACCAGCTGACCAAGATACCCGCCTTCGTCACACCTACACTTCAGCGTCACAACAAGAGGCGCCGCTCAACATCGATTGCGGCAGAACAAGCTGTTTTCCTTGCTGGCGCCGGCCCATCGAACGATGAGAACAATCCGACAACCACTCCACACGGACAGCGCCACCCCGACGACACCACTATACATAAGCGCACGAGGAAAGCCCATGGGGTCAAGCGCCGTCGTATTGCTGGCGACTTCAACCCCGTTCACGGCCCTGGTTCCCCCCGTTCATCCGACTTGAAAGAGGTGCGATCACAGATTGCGCCGACTGCAAACCCATCAAGCATTGATCCCGTCTCAGGCGGAGATCATCCCCACAAAGACATCACCGCCCTCGCTGTCGATTATGTACCATCTAAACCGAAGCCCATTACCAACACTCTGAAGCAGACTCCCCAGACACCAGGTGGAGATCGCAAGAAGAAGTTCAAAGTCTGGGAAGACGAGCCGCAGCCGTCTAAGCCCGAAGACCCAACACCAGCCGCCGCAAAGTTGCTGCAAGATATCACCAATACCGGAGCTCAACGCAGGTGTCGCCGCGTAGAGGGGTATAAGCCGCGCTTCCGCGCGCAAGAGGCTGATTACTATTATCATCCCAATCTCAAGGACTTCCACTTTCCACAGGGCGTCGTCGCATCCACTGAGGAGGCTGTCGAAGAAGCGGCTCAGAGTAAGCTTGACGCACCCACTGCCGGAGCGACACAGAATACCAGAGATGCTCAGCCAGAGATTACACAGTCATTGAAGCGGAAAGCCGATGACGATCTTCGAGAGGCTGGTGCGGAGAAGCTACGAAAGCTTAATGACCAACAGCCTTTGCCTTGGATAGTCCATGGCAAGATCCGACATGATCCAGTTCAAGACTTTGAGACTGAGTACTTTGCTATATCCACACCGTGGCTACCCTCAGAGCCTGTGGAAGCTGTGGTCAACACGGCAGAACCGGATCAATCCCAGCAAGAGATCGATACAGCGTTCGAGGCAGTTGAAGCTCAACAGCTACCTACACCCATCTCCGAGCCCGTACCCAACGAGGTGTTGTCGCCTCCTATATACTACAACCTGAACCCATCCGACATAGTCCATGTACAGGGGAACGATGAGCCAGCTCTGGACAAACTAGAGTCAGGATCTCTAGATTTGGATGCTATCCTGATGGGAATGACACAAAATGATGCATTCCCCATCGTCGAGGAAGATGCTTCTAAAGGATTCGGTACCTACAAACCACCGACACCGCAAGAGGATGACATCCCCGCCGGCAACAAAGCTACATTCGCTGGCTTTGGTACTTACCAACCGCCTCCACAAACAGTTGCTGCTGCATCTCCCGCGGTCGAGAAAGACGCATTCAAAGGGTTCGGTACCTACAAATCACCGCCACCAGGACACAACGAATTCCCCATCGTCAACAAAGATGCGTTCGAGGGATTTGGTACTTGCAAACCACCACCACAAATCGTTGCTGCTGCCGCTCAGCCGGCTCCAAAGATTGTGACAACAGTTCCCTCTATGATAGACAGGAACAATCACGCCATCATCAAAACGGGTGTAGCCTACAGCGAAGGCTATGACCCAGGAAACCCACAGAACTTCAAGCACTACCTCGCTCAGTTCACCGATCGACCTGCGGTTTCGCGACCACGAGAGCGCGAGTATCGCCCAATGCCAGAGATATTGGAAGTCGAGACTCTGAACCAGCGGTTAGACTGGGTAGTCCCGAATGGAGCAGAAGCTCCCCAACTTTTCCGCGACATGTCAGCACCACCACCTCACATCGACTCAGAGTTAGCTCGTTGTGTTCGCTTTGCCCAGTCCGACGCGCAAAGACGCGTTAACTGGCGAGCGCATCCCACCCATGTCGCCGAAATCATCCAGCGCACCAACTTCTACGGAATGGAGTTGCTGGTCAGTCGGAGCGAAATGCGCATCTCGTCACCTCCGACAGCAGACGAGTTCGAGCTAGCCATGGCAACTCGGCTGGCGCATATATCCTTCGGCATGGACACGAAGGACTACATTGCGGCAGATGTGCCGGCTATCATAGAGTACTTCTCGGAGAATCTTCCATCGGCGATAAGCGTCTTCCCAACAGAAGGGGAAGACTGCTTTCGCGCCTTCACGGATTATTATCGCGTAATGTTCGAAGAGAACTATCCACCACTGAATACTCTCGGCTTGCCGGAATGGCAGGTCTTACTAGATGCGGAGGAGGGCAAGCCCTCTCTCAAAGCACAAACGCTACAAGGCATCGTCCAGTCCATTAAAGGGCTGGCTCATCAACGCCCCGGCGATGCAGACGGGACAGACATCCTAAAAGATCCGGTCTCTCACGAAAGCCCTGATACGGGAAACGAGCATCTAAAAAACGCTTGTCTAGAACTTGGCCAGACCCTTGGCGTGGGTAGGGACAGCTTCGACGGAGACCTACAGAGGCCCGATCAGCTGACCAACGCCTCTTTTCCTAGCGTGGCTCAGAACGAGCAATCGCAGCAATACGATGCAACTCCAGCTCCTCACTGGAAGAATACAGAAGTCCAAGGAGCACATGTGCATCCTTTTGTACCCGAAGCAGATGCAAGGGTTCAAGATGTACACGGCGATTACTACGGCCCAGAGGGCTGGTTTCGCACTGATTTGAATGCGATGATGCCATGGGATTACGAACATAACCCCATACCACAAGGCTTCAGCGCAGCTCCATTGGACTACGGTGCTGTGGAGGAATATTTCAATCAGTCTGCATTCGGCGCATTCAACGACGCTGAACCGGAAACATTGTTATAAGAATGCCAGGATTGGATAGATCCCATAGAGTATCTGGAAATGTATGAGCGGGCTTTGCGCCGTAGTACATTGTGTGGTAGTGGCCATGACTCTTGTTCAGTGAGGGCTTCTCGCCTCCAAACACGGACACTGTGAGTGGCTCGCGGCCGCTAGCGCCGACGGAGGATTGAAGCAGGCACCAAGGGTAGCCACCATCTGTGTTGTATGATGCAAGTATACTATTGGATGTTTGCGTTAGCTAGAAGAATACATCGTTCTAAGATGTCACCACTTATTAAACTTTAGTGATGTGCGTGCAGCAGCTTGCGACACAGATTATAGCTACCTGGACTGCAAGTGCCAGCGCAAGCATAATCGAAACAGGGGCGATGAAAGCGCCTGCAGGAGAAGTGGTGGCTGAGGAAAGCTCGAAGACCGCTTCCATCAGATCCTGTGCATTGCGACGGACGGCATTGGTCCTTCTTGTTGGTGTAGTGTCGGCCATGGTGCCACAACACGCGTACCATGGATGGGCTTCAGCCTCAGCGACTTCCACAGACTCATCGAACGAAGACAAACCAGAGTTCCAGCGGAAGCTAATACTAGCACAACGAAAGATTATATATCTTCATGTCGATTACCGGACAGTATGATATTCTCCTTCCTTGCTACCTACCTTTCTGCCAAGCGCGCATCGAAGCCACCTTACCATGACTCCACCACGTACAGCGACAGCACCACATATCGAAACCGGTACCAAACCGGCCCCGGCAAAGAACCCACGTGGTCGACCACGCAAAGACGGGTTGCCGGCAGGATCAGTACCCAAAAAGCCCAAAACGTCAAAACGAGTGCGTGCAGATACTCCGACGGAAATCCAAGGACAGCCTGAGAAACGAGGCCCCGGTCGTCCACCCAAGAACAACAAATCGCAGGGCGCCAAAATTCCATCAGCAACGTCATCATCATCTAATCTCTATCCACCAATGAACCCCATTACAAGCCGTGGCCCACAGGAAGGAAGTCTCATTGTCTCTGCGACTGAAGAGACTTCCAATATACAGATCACGGTCACGGCCCCGAGTGAAGTGACTGTACGCTACAGTGAGAAAACGGACATAAGTGAACAAAGGATTCAAGATACTCTGAGGTTCCGGGAAGAGGCCGAAGAAAACCAGAGGCTTGGTTTGGAGGTCAGCCAACGGAAAAGGCAGAGGGAAGATGACGCATTGGAATTACAATTGGGCCTGTTCAGACACAACCACGACTATGACGTGGAGCCAAGTCGCAAGCGCGTAGCATTCGCGGACGAAGAGAACGAAGAGGACGAAGAAGCCGAACAAGAAGTCGGAACAGAAGAGTCGAAAAGGAAAGCGGAACGTCGACGTCAGAAGAGAGAATGTCGAGATTACGGCTGCTACGAAGAGGATTGCAGAATTGGCCATGCAGTCAGAGCGAATGTCGCGCGTTACATGGTGAATCTTGACGAGCGCACGGAGGCGTTGCGGTCTCTGGTGGTAAAGACGGATGATGAGGTGATGGAAGAAGGGACAAGGCCTATGAGTTTCGAATACCCTTGGTTGATTGCACGGTGATAGCTTGCACCTTCGATGGACGGTGGCGTTGTAGTTCATAGCAGAGACGTTGCAGGAGCTGTGTTCTCTTCTAGTATCGTCAATTCAATCGCCTCGAAGGCCTGAAGAAGCATCCAGATAACATCAGCTTGACTCTTTCGCGCGTACTGATATGGGGATGACAACAGCAGGGCTCTGTACTGCACGAT